TTCCTTCCTTCCTTCCTTCCTTCCTTCCTTCCTTCTTCCTTCCTTCCTTCCTTCCTTCCTACCTTCCTTCCTTCCTTTTCCTTCCTTCCTTCCTTCCTTCCTTCCTTCCTTCCTTCCTTCCTTCCTTCCTTCCTTCCTTCCTTCCTTCCTTCCTTCCTTTTTCCTTCCTTCCTTCCTTCCTTCCTTCCTTTCCTTCCTTCCTTCCTCTCTCCTTCTCTTCCTTCCTTCCCTCCTTCCTCCCTCTGCTACCAATACTTGGAGTAGTCTAGAAATGTGATTTGTTATTATTGTTGTCTTTTCTGCCCACCCCCCTCATTCCTTGTAGCTTTTCTGCTCCTACAGCTCAGATATCACAGTCTGGCCTTTTGCAATTCTGTCCACAGTGGAAAGCCGCCCCTGCTGTTCATTACTGTTGCTTTTCTGGAGAGAAACATCAGGACTGGGAGTGAATGTAGTATCTCTCTAGGGCAGGGGGCCAACCCCCTCGGGGAAAAACAGTGAACGCCCAGAAGACAAATGTCAGCCAATTATGGAATCTGGGGAAACAAGAAGGCTGGAAGAATGTGGTTCTGGCTCCCATATTTATAAGCAGCCAATGTCTGTGCTCTGAACTGTCTGGGCCCAGGACTTCCAGATATCTATCCAGAATACTGAGCTGATGCTGCCAGAGCGATAGTGATTTCCATTTCCAGCCTCGCTGATTCCATGATTCTCTAAGTACAGAAATACAGAGAGAGAGAGAGAGAGAGAGAGAGAGAGAGAGAGACACACACACACACACACACACACACACACACACACACACACACACGTGTGCTTTGGTAGGGAAGGGAGGTCAGGCCCCAGCCTTGGGCCTTCTGCTGCTTTTTGTGGGTCATTTAATATTTTTGTGCCTTCTCCCAACAGTAAGGAGGCCCAGCCATAGCCTAATGCAGCATGAAAATGAATGAAATCATATTTGTCAAAATGCTTTGAGGCCTTAAGGAAGGAAGAATGCTCTCTGCACTGAAGGTATGATTGATATTCTAAAAACCTCAGGCATCAAGCTTCTTTCCTTTCCCCTTATGTATGTATCAAGGCCAAACTCTTTTTGGCTTTTAAGGCCTCCAATAATTGAATCTAGAATAAATTCTAGATGATCATAGGATTTAGAGCTGGAAGGGACTTTAGTCCATCATCTTGTCCAACCTCCTCATTTTACAGAGGGGGAAACTGAGGCTCAGAGATGTAAATGGAAGAGGTGTAGGAAGGAGGATGAGCTATAGGAGGAGGACTAGCAGGAGGAGATAGAAGAGAGTAGTAGTAGGAGATGGAAGAGGAAGAGAAGAAAGGAAAGGGGAAAGGAAATGAAGAGAGGAAAGAATGGGAAATGGAAGAGAAAAGGAGAAAGGGGAAGAGTAGAGGAAGAGATGGAGGAGGAGGGAATGGAAGAAAAAGGTCAATAAGGAGGAGGGAAAGAAGAAGAGGAAATGGAAGATAACGGAGATGAAGAGGAGGAAGAAGAGGAAAAGATTAAGGGAAAATTGAGAGAATAGAAAATAGAGGTGAATGAGGGAGAAAAAATGGATGAAAAGGACTAGAAAGAGGCAGGGGAGATGAAGGAAGAAGCAGGAGAAGGAGGAGAGTAGAAAAGAATGAAAAGCAGCAATTGGTGCATAAAGGATCTGGGAGTTTTGTCTGCCTACAAATGCCTCGGAGCCAGCAATGTGTGTTGTGGCTGCTAGAAAAGCAATTCACTCACAGAATTCTGCGAGGCCCAGAATGAAGGAAGCATTGGCCTCATGATGCCCTCTGCCCTGGACGTCCACACCTACAGAACTGTGTTATGAGTTTAGAGCACCATATTTTAAGAGGAATGTGAACACTAGAGAGAGTCTGGAGGAAGGTGACTGGGAGAAGGGCCTGGGAATGATTTTCGATGAGGAGCCATTAAGGTACCAAGACAGCTCAGGCTTACTGCACTAACTTGGAGATGAGAGCACGGGGCGGGGAAGAGGAAAGGAGATCCATAAGCTCTGTCTTCAAAACCCTGAAAGCACTGTCATGACAAAGAGTCTGGGCTTGCTCATATTGTTCTTAAGGCCTCCCTAAATTGGAAGTGACAGGAAGGAGGTTGGTTGTTTCTTGGTTTATTTGTTTGCTTATTTTTTCAGATCAACCTAAGAAAGAGTTTTATAACTGGAGCTGTCCAACGGAAGGGCAAGCGTAATCCAAAGAAGGGGAATTCCTTGTCACTGGGGGGATTTAATCAGAGGCTTGTAAATGAGAGGGAATTCCTGCATGAAGAAGAAGTTGGACTCTCATAACTCACTTTTATATGGCCCTTTCAGGTCTATGAAGCGTTTTCCTCAATGATCTTATCTTCACACAGAGGTGAAGGCACCTCAGAGGATTATAGGATTAGACGCAAGAAAGATCCTTTAGAACTCAAAGTCCAATCCCCTCCTTTTGCAGATGAGAAAACAGAGGTCCAGATAACTTAATTTGTATCAACTCACAAAAGTAAGTGAGATTTGAAAATTCTAGTAAAGGTGGGGTTTGAATCTAGACTCTCTGACTTTAGCGCCAGCATACTTTTCACTCTACCACACTGCCTCTCAGCATAGTACACTTCCTGTCTGTAACAGGAATCCCTTCTATGCCTGCTCAGCTTGTGGTCATCCAGCATCTATTTGGAGATCTCCAGGGAGGAGTACTTTTCACCTCTCAAGGTAGCCCTTTCCACCTTTTTTTTTTAATAACATTCCCCCTCCCCATTACATGTCAAGACAATGTTTAACATTCATTTTTACAAGATTTTGAGTTCCAAATTTTTCTCCCTCCCTCCCTTCCCCTCTCTCCTCTCCCCTCTTCCTAAAATGGTAGGCACTTTGATATAAGCTTATGCATGCGCTATTGTGTAAAACACATTTCCATATTAGTTATAGTTGTGAAAGAAGAAAGAAGAAATAGATCAAAAGGAAAAAATGTGAAAAAAGAATAAAGTAAGTGAAAAAAGTATGCTTTGATCTGCATTCAGAGTTCATCAGTTCTTTATTTGGTTGAGGACAGATCTTTCCTTTGTGAGTTCTTTGTACTTGTCCTGGATCACTGTGTTACTGAGAAGAGCTGAGTCATTCATAGTTGGTCATCATACAATGTTTTCCTGGTTCTGCTTATTTCACTTTGCATCAGTTTGTGCAAGTCTTTCCAGGTTTTTCTGAAGTCTGCCTACTCATCATTTTTTATTGCACAATACATTCATATACCACAGCTTGCTCAGCCATTCCCCAGTTGATGGGCATCTCCTCAATTTCCAATTCTTTGCCACCACAAAAAGAGCTGCTATAAATCTTTTTGTACATGTGGGTCCTTTTCCCTTTCTTATGATCTCTTTGGGATACAGCCCTGGTAGTGGTATTGCTGGGTCAAAGAGCATGCACAGTTTGGTTGTTCAGCCTTTCTGCTCTTGACTAGGGTTCTCATAATCCCAAAGTCTCTCGTTTTTATCAAGCAGAAATCTACCTCCCTTAGAGCTGAAAGCTGTTTTGGCTTCTCTTGCCATACAAGAAAAAGAAAAAGAAAAAAAAGGATCATAAAATTAGAGTTGGAAGCAACCTTAGAAGCCATCTAATCCAATGTTACTATGATACAGATGAGGAAACCGAGTCCCAGTGAGGTTAAACTCCTCTAAATTCATAGAGATAATGAGCGGCAGAACCAGGATTTGAACCCGGGTAAGTTAACTCCAAAGCTTTCCATTTGTACAAGTATTCTTTCCCCCACATCCACAGTCCCCTCTGACTTGAGTCCTATCAATATAACCCTCTGTGTATGTGTGGTTTCAAGTGAGGCAATGTGTTCTAACTGAAAGTGCCCTATATATGGAGTCAGAAGACCTAGGCTTTGCTACCCTGGGCAAGACATTTTCCCCTGCCTGAACTTCAGTTTCCCCATGAGGGAAAATGATGGGGTTGGACTCCATGGTCTCTAATCTCCCTGGCAGCTCTAACTGCTGTCATTCCAAAGCCCCCTTGAGAGAGTGAGAGAGTGATGTTAGCAGCATCCAATAGAGAGGGGACGGCTTGAAGGCATTGGGAAGGCAGTGGGCTTTCATTTTTGCTTCCAATTCTGCTGGATTGGATGTGGGGAGGCAGTGGGAAGGAAGCCTCCAGTCTTCTCGGAGGCACTGGGGGCTTCGTCCATCCTGCAGATACCACCAGCTCCCCTCCAGCTGTTGGCCTGTCTGCCTGCGGACAGGTGGGCAGGTAACCATGACGACCGGGCACCGTGGCTCCCCCTTTCTACCCAGGCGAAAGGCGAGTTGCTGCGCACAGCCTGCTCTGCCCCAAGGAGCGACGGAGTACGACCCAGGGCACGCAGCGAGGCCCCTGGGCAGGCGCTAGAAAGCAGCAGACCCAGGACGGTCCGCCCGGGCTGTGAGCGCTCTCAGAGCCCAGGGCAGGGTCTCGACAGTCCCATCACCGCAATCACCACGGAGCAGAGGCTAAGACAGCTCAGGATAGAGGAGGCGCCAGGGAGATGGGTGGATGAGGACAAGGGGCGAAGGTCTAGATGCCCGGCAACTGCCCGCTGCCCGACACAACCCAACGCATTCCTTGCAATCGGGGACAGTGGGAGACTTCCTCTACTCTCTAGGTGCCCCCAGACCCAGGAATCTACCGAGCTCCAGAGGCTGCACACTTGCTGCCGAAGAGGCTGAACTGGGCTCTCCCGACCTGGTCTAAACTTCTGGCTTGCCTCCGGATAGGATTTTTCCCGTAACCCAATTAGAGAGGTAGAGAAGAGGGCAGCAAAAGATTGCCCTCCTCCATCCTGAACATCAGTGAGGGTCTCTGGGGAGAGGCACTCCTTGCCCCCTCCCCACCTCCAAGACTGGGAGAATCGCTGCAAGGAAGCTTCCTTGTACCTCCCCAAAGAATCCCCTACTCCATCAAAAAAAAAAATCCTTTGGCCCAAGCAACATCTGGAACAGAGAGCACAGCGCGTGGGAAGGTGGAGCCCAGCTCCCTGAAGGCAGAATACGATGGAAGGTTAGTGGCTTTCTCTCCCTTCTGGTCTCATCCTAGGCTCTGACTCACTGGTGCTGCAGAAATGGTGGGGTGGTGAAGTGGGACAGTGACTAAAGGCAGAAAGAAATTGTGCTGCCCAGAAGGGAGGATCTGTGGAAAGACCCCTGAGCTTCCAGTCAGAAGAGCTGGCTTTGAGTTGTCTGAAGAAGGTAACACAATCATTAATGTCCCCATTTTACAGACAAGAAAACTGAGGTACAGAAAAGCAAAGTGCTAGTCCAAGGTCACAGAGCTAATAAGTGTTAGAAGCTTCTGACTTCAGATACAATTCTCTCATTTACTGGTATGTCATATTGGACAAGGCCCCTCCCCTCACCAAGCCTCAGTTTCTTCTTTTGTAAAATGAGGGAAGGTACTAGATGATCCTCTAAGTTTCCTCTCGGCTCTGACATTCGATGTTCTTTCTTCCGAAGTCCCTTTCAGCCCTGGTATTATGCTCCACGTTCTAAGGTTCCTTTCAGCTCAGCTCTGACATTTTATAAGACGGTCATCCCCATTCTGACTTGGGTGGGTGGGTAGGCATGGTCTTGGGGATAATAGTTTCAGTTTCACTAATTTGGGGGGGGGATGAAGGGGAATAAGTAAGGTATTATGTAACTTAGAGCAGGAGGGTCTCCCCTAAGGCCCAAAATCATTTCCAAGACATCTTTTTAGCAATTGGTAGGTCTTAGAATTACTAGCATGCCTGTTCTGTGCAACTACAGAGTTTCCTTCCCCGAAGAAGGCTAGAGACAGCCCCTTGGGCCCTCAGACTGTGGGCATCCTAGGCAGAAGGCGGATTGCTTCATTTCTCCAGATCCAGGCTCAGCTTCCTCTCATAGACAGTGGGGAGGAGAGAAAAAATCCTTTAGCTAGGAATTAGGAGGGCTAAGAGTTCAACCGCAGTGGCTTACAATCAATCAATGAGCATTTATTAAACTTTGTGTGCCAGGCTCTGTGCTAGGAACTAGAGGGACAAAGCCAGAACAGCCTCTGTTTTTGAGGAATTTATATTCTGTCTGTATAATGGGCTGCTAGCATGTGGGTAAAGGGAAGGTTTTGAAAGATAAGGGGTACTTGAGCAAATTTGTAGACAGCAGAAAAGGGGCCAGGAGAGACTGAAAAAAAATGTGAGAAAAGGAATGATCAATGGGACAAAAGACAGAAGAAGAGGGGATGACGGGCACAATTAGAAGGCTTATCCTAGGCTAGGATCATCCCCTGAGGCTGGAATAAAGGGCTGGTGATGCAGAGTTTGTTAGGTATGCAGGAGAAGATTAGCTTGAAGAAGCATTTATGAAGTGTTTCCTATGTGCTAAGAATTGTAGATACAAACACAAAAGCAAAGACTGTCCCTTGCCCTCAAGGCTCTTACGCTCTAATGGAGGAGATAAGACATGGGGAAGCAGTGACCAGGGAGGTTTGATTTTGAAGGTCGCAGGGGTGGTCAGGTGAGTGAGTTGATCTTCCCTTTCTAGTAAAAGGGCAGCATTCATTTGATGATAGTTCCAGAAGTGGAAATGGGAAGGGGCAGGGAGGGCATACATATAGTGTGGCAGGGCAACTGAAAAGAAGACACTTTGCTGTTGGTGGTGACCAGTCATTTTTCAGTCACGTCTGATTCTTTGTGCCCCATTTGGGGGTTTTCTTGGCAACGATACAGGAGTGGTTTGCCATTTCCTTCTCCAGCTCATTTTACAGATGAGGAAACTGAGGCAAGATTCATAAGGAATAAGATATAGCATTGCTGGAGCTGGCTTAGATACAGTGAGCCAAGTGAGTCACTCACTATTAAGGCAGGTGTTCTCCTGCAGGAAAGATTAAGTCCTCCAGGGCATGGTTTGTGGTCTGAGGCCAGCTGCTGCATTAACTGGGGAGAAGATGGTAGCAAGTAAAGACGAGGGAGATGAGGGAGCTGGAGAAGATAACCTGTCTTTTCAGTAAAGTAGGAAGGGATATCATTTGATATGGAAGGTTGGGTTGGATGTGGGGACTTAAGGAGGGAAGAGAGGCTTTAGAAAAGCCACTTCATAGTCAATTAGGGAAGAATAAAAGGCCATGTTGTTGTTGAGTCGTTTTCCAGTTGTGTCCCACTGTCCATGACCCCATTGGGGGTTTTCTTGACACAGATACTGGAGTGGTTTGTAATTTCCTTCTCCAGCTCATTTTACAGATGAGGAAACTGAGGCAAACAGGGTTAAGGGACTCAAATGCCAGAGCCCAAATGGGGTGAGAGAGCATGAATTTGTAGGAGATACAGCCTGGAAGGTTTTGCTATTTCCTGCTACAGTCTGGCAGCTTGGATTGGAAAGGGTAGATGGAGGGCGTGGCCAAGAGATGAGGATCGATAGGGTGTAAATATCAGAAGAACAAGGAGTTAAGAGATTCAAGTATAGAGAATGGTGCCTAGTTCAACTGGTTAATTATGGGATCATTAGGGCTATCCCTAAATGGAGTGGACCGCATCAGAGGATGGTAAGTCTTCTGTCGATGGAGGTCTCTAAGCAGGAATAACTCATGGGGGATGTTGTAGAATCAGCTCCTATCTCCTCTATTCGAATATAAGCTCTTTGAGGGCAGGGACTGTCATTTTTGTCTTACTAGCCTAGCACCTAGCACAGTTCCTGGTGCACAGTAGGTGCTGAATAAATGCTTGATTGATGGATTCATTCATTAGTATGGTATAGTGAGAAGATCACTGGATTTGAAGTCCAAGGACCTGGGTTTAAATTCTGGCTCAGCTGTTAACCACCTGTGTGACCTTGTTCAAGTACCTTCTGCCCTCTGAGTCTCAGTTTACTCCTCTGTAAAATGAGACAGGATGATGTCTAAGATTCCTTCCCCCTCTGACGTTCTATACCAATGTTCTTAGGTTTCAGTTCTTAGCCTCAGTTCTCTCCTGTGGATACTCAGGCATTTAACCTGGATGACCTGTAAGTGCCTTCTCAGCTCTAACCTGTTATGCTCTTATGAAGTTCCCTCAGGGAAAGGAATCCAGGAATTCCTTCTTTGAAGGTTCTTGAAAATCTTAGCCCCTGCAGTCAGAACCTGGTCCTGATGGCTGATCACAGTCTCTTCCATTTCAGTGTGGTAGACTGTTTTTGTTTTTCTCTTTCCATGCTATAAAGAGGGGATAGAGGCTTACTGGGCTGGTCAGCGCCCTTAAGATGGGAAATTCTCTCTCCATTAATGAGGAAACTGAGCTATGGAACAGCAGAGTGACTATGGATTCATGCCATGGGGTGAGTCAGGGGCAGGGCTGGAAATAGAATCCTACCTTTTTCCCCACCCTACCTCCCTGCTTTCAATCCCCTGCTCCATCTCTGGCCTCCACTAGCGACATCAGAGCCCCTTGGCTGGCTCTCATTTGGAGCCCAAAGAAAGTCCTGGGGGTGCCACAGGATGGGACCAGCACTACCCCCAAAGCTGATTTCCCCCTTAGGAAGATGGAGAGGCTCAGCCAGAAGGACACTGCGCTTTGAGGAAGGAGGGTAGGCAGAGAGAAAGGCAGGGGGCAGCCAAAGGTTTCAGCTTCTTAGTTCAGAGCCTCCAAGTCGTGAAAAGCCACCTCTCACAGTGCTTGGAGGGGCTTCCTCTTTCTTGGTATCTCAGGGAGGCCCTGCAGCCCCTGGAAATACCCAAGGCAGCTTTTCCCTAGTGCTACAAAATGACCGGTTAGCAGCTTCCCTGGCGCTCCCGCACCTGGTCTTACTCCTTACAATCCAAGCACAAAGGAAATTCCCAGCCTTCCCCATGCCCACCCTCCACCCCCACTCTTCCTGTGCAAGGGGAAGGCCCTAGAAGCTAATTCAACTCAATTCAGCAAGAACTTTTATTATTATTATTAACATGGATAATGATAATAAGCACTTCAGGATTTGCAAAGTACTTTACATATTAACTCATTTGATTAGATTATTAAGGGTCTGGCACTGAGCCGGGCATTAGAGATGCAAAGACAAAAAAAAAAATAATCCTTGCTTTCAGTTCTCATGGCTGGAAACAACATGTGCATAGATGTCAATAAAAAATAAATAGTGATTCAAATCCGTCCTTAGACATTTGATGCTTCCTAGCTGTGTGACCCTGGGCAAGTCACTTAGCCCCGATTGCCTCACCAGAAAGAAAGAAAGAAAGAAAGAAAGAAAGAAAGAAAGAAAGAAAGAAAGAAAGAAAGAAAGAAAGAAAGAAAGAAAGAAAGGAAGGAAGGAAGGAAGAAATACTGAGAAATTTCAAGGTGAAGGAAGAGGAGGTTGTACTGGAGCTGAGCACTAGAAAGCTAGGGGTACCCCCAGGAGATGGAGGTGAAGAGGAAAAGCAGGTTGGGCAAGGAACAGGGCCTGGGTGCAAAGGAGCATAGATTTAAAGTGGGAAGGGACCGTGGACGCCATTGAGTCCAACCTCCTCATTTTACAGATGGAGAAACCGAGGCAGAGAGATGCTAAATAACCCCAGCTGGATGTCACTGGTAGTAACTACCTGAGGCAGAATTTGAATCCAGGTCTTCCTGACTCCAAGCCCAGCTCTTTGCCTGCTCTATCATTCAGCCAGCTTGCTCACAAGGTGTGGCGGGCTGCAGATCAGGGCTTGATTTAGTGTTTTGTGAATTGTCTACATTTAATACAGTTATAGGGGAAAATGTTAATAATGCAGATTAAACATAAAAGTATGTGTGTGCATTTTGCTTTGAGAGCTGGTGGTTAAACATTTCTCAGCACACCACTGTGCCTACTCCATCTAGGTGGTGCGGTGGCTAAAGTGCCAGGCCTGGAGTCAAGATCTGATTTCAAATCCAGCCTCAGACACTGACTGTGTGATTCTGGGCAAGTCACTTAACCTCTATTTGCCTCCATTTCCTCATCTGTAAAATGGGTATAATAATAGTACCTACTCCCCAGAGTTGTTGTGAGGATCAAATGAGATAATTATTGTCAAGTGCTTGGCACATAGCAAGTGCCATAGAAATGTTAGCTATTATTATCTCAAATTTGAGGTCTTCCAGAGATGGAGCTCTGCCCTGTTTTGAGTTCTGATGACTCAGTCTTCTCTGGCTAAATATCCCCAGTTCCTCCATGTGACATGGACTCAAGGCTATTCCCTGTGTGGGTTGTCCTCCCCTGGACATTCTTTAGCTCGTCACTGTCCTTCTACACCACGGGGCCCAGAAGGGTAAAAAAGGGCTTACTAAGTGGTTGTAGATGAGTCAAGCAAACAGGGCACCTGTGACCCACAATGGGATGAGCGGTGAAATGGGCGTCAGAGGAATGAGGTTCGAATCTCGCCCCTTGCGTACGACCTCTCCGAGTCTCAGTTTCCTCATCTGTAAAGTGAGGCAGTTGGATGAGATGACCTCTGTAGGACAACCTGACCAGAGTTTGGGAGCATGGTCAAGACAGGGTAAACGGTCAAGGTTATTCTGGGAAGCGGGGAAAGCCCCCACTCCTCTGGGCTGTAAGGTGTCTCTACCTAGCCACAGGGCCTGTTCTGTCTTCTCATGTGTCTGCCATCTTGACCGTCACATACTTCCTTGGTTCTAGAGGGAGCCACCCAACCTGGCAATGACTCATCCTTGGCCAACGATGAGAACGGCACCCAAGGGCCCTCTCCCGGGAACCTCACCTTCTCCTCCTACTACCAGCACTCCTGGCCCGTGGCGGCCGTGTTTATCATGGCCTACGTCCTCATCTTCCTCATGTGCCTGGTGGGAAATAGCCTTGTCTGCTTTATTGTGGTGAAGAGCAGGCAGATGAGGACGGTCACCAACATGTTCCTTCTGAACCTGGCTGTCAGCGACCTGCTGGTGGGTGTCTTCTGCATGCCCACCACCCTCGTGGACAACTTGATCACAGGTGAGTGAGGATGGCGGGGCATCTGGAGGGTGGAGTGATGAGGGGTCGGGGTCCATGAGAGAGGGCTAGTATTGAGGAAGGGGGGTCAGGAGCTGTCGAGTTTGACCATGGCTGGGGAACACGAAGACAGAATCTTGGGATTTACAGTTGGAAGGCACCATAGAGAGCATCTTCTCCCATCCTTTCATTGAACAGATGATGAAGCTCAAGTGCAGGTCTGCTAGATACCCCTTCTGTCCCCTCCTGCACCCTCACTCCATAAACTCTAGTAGCTCCCTATTACCTCCAGGATCAAATATCAACTTTTCTGTTCGACCCTTCATAACTTGGCTCCTTCCTACCCTCCCAGTCTTCTTACTCTTGACTCCCTTCACAAGGTCTGTGATGCAGCCGGAGAGAACTCTTGGCCGTTCCTTGCTCACAACACTTCCATTTTCCATCTTCCATCTTCCATCTTTGCGTCGGCTGTGGCCCATTTGCTCCTGGAACATCCTGCTTCCTGGTTGCCTGCGAGACTCAGCTCAGATCCCTCCTTCTCCAGGAGGTCTCTTCTGTTTCCACCATTCCACCTCCCCTCTGAGCTTGCTTCCTATTTATTTTGTATGTATCTTGTACATACATCGCTGTTAGACTGTAAGTCCTTGCGGGCAGGGACTGTTTTTGCCTTTCTTTTTATTCCTAGTGCTTAGCACAGTGCCAGGCATACAGCAAGCACTTAATAAATGCTTGTTAACTGACTAACACAGGAAGCATTTGAGAGAACATAGGACTTGGAATCAGGAGACCTGAGTTTGAATCCTGCCTCTGACACTAGCTGGTGACCGGGGGTGAATCCTTTCCCTTCCTCTTCAGAGTGAGAGTGTTAGACTAGCTTGAACTGCCCTGTAGCCTGTCCATCCCCGACTCTCCCGTCCTGCAAGATTCTTGATCTTAGCCAGGACAAGATATGAGGGGAAGACGTGCCATCTGGCCTCTCATGTTGGTTCCTGTCATCTTGGGGTTCTTTGAGCAAGTGTGACGTGCCAACAGATGCTTGGATTATGGAGACCCCTAGAGGTACAATCACAAACACTTCAGACCTGCGGGCCAATGCTGGAGAATCCACACAGTGTTGGGGCATCACGGCGGGGATGGCTCTGAGACAGGGAAGGGCAGTCTTGGCACTCATGCCAGAGATGACACATGGCTGATTCTGAATAGCATCCACACTGCTGGTTCAATTAACAGCATGGAAAGGCATTCATCTTCTCTAAAGGGAGGTAGGGAAGGAATAAGCATTTTAGAAGTGCCTACTGTATGTCAGGCACTGTGCAGAGTGCTTCACAGATATTATCTCACAACAACCCTGGGAAGTAGGTAATATGATTATCTCCATTTTACAGTTGAGGAAACTGAGGCAGACAAAAGTTAAATGACTTTGCCCAGGTTCACACAGCTAGTTAGTATCTGAGGCTACATTTGAACTCAGATCCTCCTAACTCTCAGCCTCTATCCCTCTGTCCACTGTACTACCTAGCTGCCTCTAAACTTTTAACTAATTCAATTTATCGATCTAAAAAGCACTCATTAAGCACCCATTGTCTGTAAGATTCCCCTGACTATGTGACCCAAAGAAAAGTCACAACTTTTGATTGCCTCTAAGACCAAAAGTTGCAAAACAAGGGGTTGATCTATATTGGGGGAGGAGTCCTCATTAGGGCCCCCTTATATCAGTGAAATCCCAGACCTGGCCCATATATAAGGCATTAGGCAAGCCCCTCCCCTTTTCTAGGCCTCAGTGTATGCCTCTATAGATGGGCTGGGACTTATGATAAAAAATGTTATCCTCATCCAGAGAAAAAACTGATAGGTTCTGAATGCGGATTGAAGCATACCGTTTTTTAAATTTTATTTTTGTGGTGTTTTTTAGGTCTGTGTTTTCTTTCACAACATGACTAATATGAAAGTATTTTTTGCATGACTGCACATGTATAACCTATATAAAATTGCTTGCTGTCTTAGGGAATGGAGAGGAGTGGGAGGGAGGGAGAGAATTTGAAACTCAGAATTGTTAAAAAATGAATGTTAAAAATTATCTTTACATGTAATCAGAAAAAATATTCTTCAAAAATGTAATTGGGTTGGATGCAATCTAATATCTCTTCCAGCTCTAATTTGATGAACCTTTGAGTTACTCTGTGCCCTAATTAATCAATCAACAAACGTTTATTAAGTGCCTATTTCAGCCTGGCCCTGAGCTAAGTGGGGATTCATTTTTTATTTTATTTTTAAATTTTTAGGCAATTGGGGTTAAGTGACTTGCCCTGGGTCATACAGCTAGTAAGTGTCAAGCATTTGGGCTGAGCATGGATTTGAACTCAGGTCCTCCTGACTTCACGGCCTGTGCTCTATCCACTGCCCCACCTGGCCGCCCTCTAAGTGGGGGTTCAAAAAGAAACCAGACGGTCCCTGCTCTCAGTGTTGTTATCTACATATCTATCTTATTCCCCAGGAAGGCTTTTGTCGTTCAGTCTTGGTCTGATTCTTTGTGACCCCATTTGAGCTTTTCTTGGCAAAGACACTGGAGTGGTTTGCCATTCCCTTCTCCAGCTCATTTTACAGATGAGGAAACTGAGGCAAACAGGATTAAGTGACTTGCCCAGGGTCACACAGCTAGAAAGTATCTAAAGATGAATTTGAGATCTTCCTGACTCCAGGCCCAGCACTCTATCCACTGTATCACCTAGCTGCCCCACCTAGCAGGCTACAGAGATCTAGAGATCAAAACTTCATCCTGTTTAAAGTTGGGCTCTCTCCAGCCCTTCACACCATGCTCCATATACACTAATAAATGGAGCTGACCCTGCTCGTCTTTGTGCTTTGCCCTTTGGGAACTCATCTTCTTAGTCTTTTTGGCCCAGCCTTCGAGCCTGGGAAGACCTGACTAGGCAAGCTACCAAGTAGGGGCATGGTTAGCTTTCCTTGAGAACTGATGAAGCCACAAACGAGGGGAGAGATAGATGCAGGCTGGGGCTTGTGTTCTGCTCTCCATCCCGTGGAAGGTTAGGGCAGAACCAGAGCCGTAACTAGAGAGTCTGGTGGCCCAGGCAAGGAATACCAAACCTGCCAACAGCCAAAAGCACAAAATTCACCTTTTAAAGCTGCCAGGGAGGCCAGGTGGGGAGGTGGGAGGGAGCCTTCTGGAAAGTTTGCTTTCTGACTATTCATGCAAACCAAGGGCTAAGCTCAGTTCCTTTATTTTTCTGAAGGAATGTCCTTTAATTTTGCCTTGGGCAAAGCTCTGGTCACCCCACTCTGTCCTTGTTCCTCCTTCCTTTTCAAAGGAGACCAATGATGTCATCAGGCTCTCGTTAGGGCTCCAAGCAGAGCAAAGAACTAGTTTCATGAGAGGCCGAGGGCAGATGTTTTTTCAGCTTTCTGTAACCTGTCCTTGTTATTTCTGGCGTCCCAGTCTTGTCTCTCCAGTGAGATGGGACAAGTTCTCCAGTGAGGGGGAACCGCTCTGTCCTGCTCTGAGCCTGTCCCACCCACAGCAGCCTCTTTCACTTTCAATTACCAGCATTGTTAGGCAATCTTTCCTTTTACTCAACTTAAATTGGTCTCTTCAGGCTCAATCTCCCCAGCTCCTCTTAAAAGAAACAAACAAACAAAAAAACTAGACATGATTTCTTGTGGATGATTTCTGGGTTACCATCCCAACCCTGCTCCCGTGCCAGTCTGCTGCTGACGCTCCTGGTTCCCTTCCCCATGATGCTCCACTGCCCACTGTGCAATGCCCTCCCTAACCCGCAGCCCTGGAACTCAGCACAACCTGCAGGTCTGGTCTGGTCAGGCCAGAGGACAACAGGCAACCAAAAGTGGAGAGATGGGAACGTCCCAGGGTCTGGAGCCAGATCCCCACCTCGCTCCACCACTTACTACCTGCATGACTCTGGGCAAACCACTTTCTGGATCTCAGTTCCCACAGCTATAAAGCGGGGCAGTTGTTACGGGGGATCTCCGAGTTCCTCTAAATCTGTGAGCCTATGACTCATCTACCTCATTGTAAACAGTGTGTTGTCTATCATAGCGTGGCCTAGGTCACTTTAGCCTTTGGCCACCCTGTTACACCATACTCCTACTGAGCTTGCCAGCCACTAGGACCCCCTGATCTTTTTCTCATGAATTATTGTTTAGTCACATTCCCTATTTCTTGCATTTGCTTGGTTCATTTTATGACTCCCCAGTGTAGGACTTTACATGTGACTTGCTCAGGGTCACACAGCTAGTGTGTCTGAGGTAGGATTTGAACATAGGAAGATGAGTCTTCCTGATTGCAAGACCAGCACTCTATCCACTGTGCTACCTAGAGGCCCACTGATCTTTATTAAAGATCGTTATAACTGATTCGACCCAGTACCCATAGGGTTATAGATCTACAATGGGAAGGGACCTCTGAGTCCATCTAGTACAATCTTCTCATTTTATAGATGAGAAAACTGAGGCCTACGGGGCTTAGTACCTTCTATAAGGTCACCCAGGTAGTAAGCATCAAGGGTGGGACTTGAACCCAAGTCCTCTGACCTCACATCTGTCCACTTTAGCACACTGCTTCCTTCTAATCCACTGAGGTCTTTCTGGACTCCTACCCTGTGGTTCAACGTATTAGCCATCTGTCTCAGTTCCTTCCTTCCCTTTGTACCTCCCTGAGATCTGTTTCCTTTTCTGTAAAATGGGGAGGGGGGAGAGAGACTTAGACTAGATGGTTTCTGCGGCCCCCTCCAGCTCTAAAATCCACACTCCTCTCTGCCATTCCAGGTTGGCCATTCGATAACATCACGTGCAAAATAAGTGGTCTGGTCCAAGGCATGTCAGTTTCAGCCTCCATCTTCACCCTGGTCGCTATTGCTGTGGAAAGGTGAGTAGGTTGGGCGACCCATAGCTCTAACCCCCAAAATGCAACCCCTTGATGAATCTTTGAGAAACCCCTTGATGAACCCCTTGAGGAAAGACTGCCACTGGGGTCCAGAGGCCAGGCTTCATCAGATCCTTGTGTTTCATGAGGCTCTGTGATTCCTGTGGTCTGGGGGAGCTGCCAGTGAGGAAATGCTAATGACCAATGTAATTTGGCATCTGCTCCAAAGTTTACAACTGTAGAGAATTGTCTGGGGCCTCAAGAGGTTCAATGACTTGCCCAGGATCAGGGTTCTAGAGCTGAATGGGACCCACTCATATTACAGATCAAGAAACTGAGGCCCAAGAGAAATGGAATGAACTGCACACATGAAAACACACATCAGTAGTAGGAATAGGAACTGAATTGGGGTCCTCAGACCCCAAATCCAATATTCTTTCCACTGAATCACACAAAAGAAAGCCAGCCATTTAAAAATTGTGTTCATGGCAAGAGTGCCTTGATGTGGTTAGTGGTGAGTAAAGAGGGTTTGAGTTCTGGTTTTCGATGGGCAGGAGTATAATAGCAGTCAAATCTCTGATCTTAGGGGAGGGATGATGGCATGGGGATGGGGATAGGGATGGAGATGAGGATGAAGATGGGGATGAGGATGGGGATGGAGATAGGGATGGGGATGAGGATAAAGATGGGGATGAGGATGGGGATGGAGATGAGGACGAAGATGGAGATGGAGATGAGGATGGGATGGGGATGAGAATGAAGATGGAGATGGGGATGGGATGGAGATGACAACCATTACTCCCACCACCACCACTACCATTATAACTGACATTTACCTGGTACTTTAAGGTTGACCAAAGTGCTAAAAGGACCAACCCATTTCAGTGTTATTGTGAGAAAAGCTGCTTGTGAGCCTTGAAGGGCAGATAAAAAGGTGAACAATTATCTTTGTTGCTCTTTGGGTGTCGCCACCCCACTGTTCCCATTTCTCCCTCTGCACAGGTTCCGCTGCATTGTCCATCCCTTCCGCCAGAAGCTGACCCTGAGGAAGGCCCTGGTCACCATCACCATCATCTGGGTCCTAGCGCTGATCATCATGTGTCCGTCAGCCATCACTCTGACCGTCACTCAGGAGGAGCACCATTTCATGGTGGACGCCCAGAACCGCTTGTACCCCCTTTTCTCCTGCTGGGAGGCCTGGCCTGAGAAGGGCATGAGGAAGATCTACACCACGGTCCTCTTCTCCCACATCTACGTGGCCCCGCTGGCCCTGCTCGTCATCATGTACACCCGCATTGCTTTCAAGCTCTTCAAGTCCCGCAACCCCCAGCCTGATGAGGCAGCCATGGAGAGGCAGCGCATGTCCCGGAGGAAGGCCAAGGTGGTACACATGCTCATCGTAGTAGCCCTGTTCTTCACTCTCTCCTGGCTCCCGCTATGGTGCCTGCTGCTCCTCACCGACTATGGCCACCTGAGCGGAGCAGCAGCTATACCTACTCAGCGTCTACATCTTCCCCTTCGCTCACTGGCTAGCCTTCTTCAACAGCAGCGCCAACCCCATCATCTATGGCTATTTCAACAGGAATTTCCGCAGAGGCTTTCGGGCCGCCTTTCAGACCCGGCTTTGCTCCCTCGAGTGGGGAAATCACAGGGAAGCCTACTCTGAGAGGCCCGGTAGACTCTTGGCTGGGGCCCTGCACAACCGGATCTTTGTGGAGATGCAGCCCAGTGATTCAGCCCTGCCCACTGAGTCAGGCCAGAGTGGCGATGTCCAGAGGATGGGACGCCTCCCCCTGCAGAGTGGTTGGATGGCCCATTGCCAGCTGGCCAAGGAAGGTCTGGATGGTCAAGGCTGTTCCCACGTCCCCCTCAGTATCCCAGCTTGGGATATCTGAGGTAAATAGCAGCAGCTGGCAGCCAGTAGCAGCAGAGACCCTTTGGGTTTGACAGATTTGAACGGAAACGTGTTGATAATAACAACTCACATCTCCACAGTGCTCTAAGGTTAACAAAATGCTTTCCTCCCAACTGCCCTGTGAGGTAGCTTGGAAGTACATTGTGGATACCAAGCTAAAAGAGATATTTGATTGTACCTTCTTGGGGGACAGCCTAGCCCCTTTGTTGTAGGTTACACAGTACCCTACATGCCACCCTTTTGTATTGGGTCTCTTCATGACAGTATTCTATCTCATCTTTACAGAAGCAGAGAGTCTTGGAGAGGTGAACAGCTTTGCCCAAAGATACACCCTCAGCATTGGAGCTGAGATTCAAGCCCAGGTCTCCTGACTTAAGGTTGGAGCTTAATTCCTCCGCAATAAGGTGAACTCAGCCACCTCTGCCATACCAGTGCCACCTGGTCTGGGGGTCCAGAGAATGTGCTGAGGTTTCCAGGTTGTCCAGTTGAGGCTAGAGAAAGGAGGAGGGATCTAGCTCTGCTCTGACCCCCATAACCAGAGCTATTGTCGGACGTTGCACCTGGCCATTGGAAGGGAAAGACCAGTACAACCACTTGCTCTCAGGAATAGTGTGGTATTTCTGTTTAGGCTTTCAAAATTTTTGGTTGGGAGGAAAGGGGAATTGTCTTAACTCCCTTAGAATCTTTGAAGCTCCTTGGGGCTACAGCCATTCCCGTAATCTGGGCCTTTTCTTGCAAATCCCTGGGCTTTGGCAGCATATCAGCCAGCTAGACTTCCGTCCTGGTGCCTACACACCATCTTTAGAAAGTCTCTGAAGGACTGATGACCTAATAATCCATCCTGGATTGTGCCCAAGGTCTGCTCTAAGGAGAAACACAGGAATTTCCTCGTCTACTCCCATCATCCTCAGCCTGGCATTAGAGCTAAGACATCCTGTTTGTACTTCTAAGGGGATTTTTCTCCCAGGAGGGTTTCACTGATGGGTTTCAATTTAACAAACATTTATTATTCAACTGAACCAACATTTATTGAATGCCTGATGTGCAAAGCAATGAGAGACATGAAGGTTTATTTTTTTAAAAAAAAAGGCCCTGGCCTCAAGGACTTTACACCTTCATCCAGGCAGAGTCCCAGGATGGGGGGCATAGATCCGTGTTTTTGAAGAAAGTAAGGCCTCAATTAACTGGAACCATTAATTTATCTGCATTTAACTTTGTGAAGAGAAAATTTTAAAAAATTGAAATTAGAGAATTATACTCAATATTTCAGGGGCCTGTGATTTGGTCATAGGGTCTCTTTTTACTTTTTCCAGATATTTACTTGTTCCAGGACTTAGTAGATATGTTCATGAGCTGCCAAAGTCAAAATACTTAGCACCTGGTGGTGAGAGGTCTAGTGTGGACCCTCTCTGGACTTAGGTGGGCTGGTCCTCAGAAAACAGACTACAGCCTCTCCCTAGGCCTACACTCAAAGCTTTCCCAACTTGGTGGCTTTTTCAGACGGTTCAGCAAACTCATGTGGGTTTAACAACCCACTTCCAAAGCCTCAGACTGTCCAAGGTTCTCTCTACCATCTGGTAAGTTTTCAGAGTAGAACTTTACAGGAGGTTGAGAAATTTAATCCAAACAATAGGTCCACAGGGTGTCTTGGGGAGACCCAGTTTTGAAGGATCACCTACCATTTCTCCACCTGCAGTCCTGGAGACTGGTTGGTTGGTGGTGTGCAGATTGGTGACCATGGAGCCCTGGTAAGAGCCTCCATGAGCCGCCTGTGGGCCAGTCATGATATTCACCATGCTTTGCTTCCACAGGTAGGAAAGTGGACTTGGGCACTGGAGAAAGATTCTTAACCATTTTGTTTTTCTGCTTTGGCTAAAAGCTCCCTGAACTAGAACCCTCCTTCTCCAAGCTTCCAGGTTTGGGGAGGCTGGGAGGTACTACTTTCTCATGTGAACCATTAATATGCATGATATCTATGAGCCCAGGGGCCTGGCCTAGCAAGGGCTTGCTATGCTGAGGTCATCCCTGGAAGGGGGATTGGACATGTTCTGCTTGGCCCCCAAGAACAGAGCCAGGAATGGTGGGGAGGTATAGGCTGCTTTGAGCTTCATGGGAGGAAAACTTTCTGACAATTTAGGGCTGCCCCAAAAGAAAAGTGGGCTATTGAGGGAAGTGAGTTCCCAGTCCCTGGAGCTCTTCAAGGGAAGGCCAGATGACTCCTTGGATATGTTTTGGCAGGGACTTTTATTCAGGGAGGGGTTCAGAAATGGCCCCTGTACTACCTTCAGAGATTCTGTGATTCTGTCATCCCTCAGAAAGAGGAAAGCTATTTGTGAATTAGTTTCTTGTGCCCTATAACCCTTGGGAGAAGGCCTATGTCATTCATCTTTTCCCCTTTTATGAAGTACATTATTTGACATACAAAAGTCTCCTTCCCAAGTCTCTATCACAGTTATGCTTCATGTGAAAGGGGACTGGGAACTAGCTGTTTATTCATAGACCTAGTTCAGGGCTTTAAAAATAGGGCAGAGGAAAAGTCAGCTCAGGGCTCCCTCTGCCCTCTCTGCCCGGCTGGGATGGGGCCCAAGACTCCAGCTGCTTTGCTTTGGACCTTAACTTTTTTTTTTTTAAGCAGCTCCCACCTCCTTCCATCTTAATGAAGGAGATGATGGTGGGGTCCTGGTAAGAGTAATGCCTTTAGAATCAGAGGCCTGGCTTCCAATCCTGATCTGCTCCCTTTATTCACTGTGGGACCCTGGGTATGTCCCTTCCCTGGGCCTTCATTACCTCTTTGCAAAATGAGCAGATTATTTAAATTTAGGAGTCATTAGACCCCTGAATGAGTACATTTCAGAGGCCTATGAACTTGGATGGGAAAAAAAAATCACATCTTTCCTTTTATTAAACTCTAATGGAGATTCAGCATTTCCTTTAATTATGAATGTAGGAAGCAAACCATAGTCGTGTGAGATTTCACCAGACTGCCGAAGGGGTCCATGACACAGACAGGGTTAAGAACATCTTCAAGGTCACAGTTACAAATTCTGTGATAACTACCCACCAGCGGTCACCAAACTGCCCCTGGGCATCTGCTCAACCAAACGTACCTGGTACTGCCATGGCAGCAAAAGAAACTCTATGTTCCAGCTGTGGACTAGCTCATCCTAAGGCTCGTTCCCTAGAGTCTGCACAAGGTGTCTTCTGTTGTATTTGGAAGGAAGCAAAGAAAGAAGGGAGAAAGGAAGGAGGGAACAAGGAAGAAAGAAAGGAAAAGGGAAGGAAGGAGGGAATGAGGGAGGAAGAAAGGAAAAGGAAAGGAAGGAAGGAGGGAGGGAGGTAGAAAAGAGGGAAGGAAGGAAGGAAGGAGGGAGGAAGGAAGAAAAGAGAGAAGGGGGACAGCTAGGTGGCATGGTAGATAGAACACTGGCCCTGGAGTCAGGAAGACCTGAGTTCAAATCTGGCCTCAGACACTTGACACTTCCTAGCTGTGTGACTCTGGGCAAGTCACTTAACCCCAATTGCCTCATCAAAAAAAAAAAAAAAAGAAAGGAAAAAGAAAAGAGGGAAGGAAGGAAAGAAAGTAGAAGGGAGGGAAGGAAGGAGAAAACAAATATTTATTAAGCACTTACTTTGTGGCAAGCATTGTGCTAAATCCTTACAAGATAACTCAGAATGAACAGTGTGTTTTTTTCCCCAAGATGCTTTACTTCAGGTGAAGTGTTTATGGGAAGTTGGCTGGGGTGGGCTGGGTTTCCTAAGGCAGCATTTTTCACGGGCAGAACCCTGGATGGGGAGTTATATGGAAAGGAAAGCTCACAGGCTCAATTCTGTGCCACCAGCCACAACCTCACTGATTCTCTAAATCCTGGCTGCATCTAATTCAGGACAAATGGTCATTCTCATTCTGGGCCGTGGCTAATGAATGACTTTCTGCGCTTCGCCCAGGACAAACAGAACCACCCCAACCCAAAGTAGGTTAGCGACAGACCTCCAGACCCTGGCCCATCCCACCTCCAGCCCTACAAACCACAGTCCACCCAACCTAACAGCTTAGATCTTTCCCTTTGGGAGATGAAGCCACAGGGCTCCCTGGGAGTTGGAATAGGGGGAGGAGCCGGTAAGGTGGAGAGAAGCACCCCCACCACGGGTTTCTGTCCATTCCTCTCCAAAGCAAAGAGAGAGCCAAACCCAGTGCTCTCTGGACAAAGCATTTCCTGTTAAACTGCACCATCTCACATCTCTTTCCTTAAATCGCCCCGGCCGAAGCCACACCGATAAAGATAGATGATGAGGCAACTAGAAAGAGCTTCATTATGTTGACTTCATAATGACTGGTTCATTGTTGAGCAACCGAATATTGACCTGCTTCTCTTGCTAGGGAGTGACTTCATGTAATCAAGGACGGGGAGCCTCGGATCACCCTGGGATTTATTCAGCCCTCTTCTGGGCTTCGGGGCTTCACAAATATAGCAAATCCAATAAGGGCTGCGTCCGCACCCAGGACTCCCACGTCTTCAGGACTGACGGTCCAAGAGCTCTGATTTCATCAGCGTGGCCACTCTCTCCAACAACACAGACTTAGTCTCCTCTTGCAAGTGCTCCATGAGAGCTGCCAGAGTGGAGAAATTCGTCCCTCTGAGGCCAAGCCCACCTGGACATTAATTTCACTTTGATTCACTAGGCATCATCAAAGCCCTCCTGTATACCAGATGCTGGAGATACAAAGGCAATCAACCAATCAGAAAGCTTCATCAAGCATCTCCCAAGAGAGACAGTGTGATCTAATAGATAGAGAGTGGTCCTGGGTTCAAGTCCTACCCCAGACATGCCCTGGCTGTGTGACTTTGGGAAACGTACTTAATTTTTCTTCCCCTGAGAATAAGAGTTGCAGAGAAGGTGCCAACCAGCCATGGTAAAGCGAGTTTTCCCCCATGGGAGGTCCCTATACCAGTGAAGTCCCAGGTTCAGGCCTTTTCTTAG